CCCCAATACCAGGAAGTTTAAAGGGAAGAAATGGTGCTTTGGTTTTGTTTTCTATCTTATAACATTATTTTTATTTATCTATCTCTTAGAACTTTGGTGCTGCCCTGTGTGTGGCAGAGATACGGCATCTTGCCCATTTCTTTGATATTACAGAGTAAAACTCCTTCCAGCGGAGCTCCTGCCACTCATCTTGAAAGACCATAAACACACAAAACTTAATAAATAAAAATTTTCATCCCCAAAGGACACAGTTGGGAGATCCTTGAAATACATTATTGAAAGCTCTCGTGTGCAACTGAATATTACAAATGACCCACACTGGTTTTCTGATGAACATGTGAATACAGTGTTGGAGTTCTTGTTATCAAAATATTCTTGTTTAGTGTTAGACCTGTTCTGTCTTCACAGTCTGTGGATGGTCAGGGCACGTCGTTACCGAGAAGGAATCCCTGGCCTCTTCTGAGAACTGTCGAGTGAGAAAACCGTAGGCCCGACCTGAGGAGTTTGGAGGCTTGTAATATGCAGCCTCCCCTCCCGGTGGGAGCTCTATGAGGGGCGGGGTCGCAGCAGGTCAGGTGGCCTGTGCTGGAAATGTGCCTTTAGAGCAGAGATGGGCTGCCCTTCTGAAAGAGTTGGTAATAAATCTTTCTCCTTCTCCTAGTGGCTGGCAGCTCTCATAACCATTTCTCCCCTGTTCTGCCTATGGCTTTTCCTCCCTTCCCTTACACAGTTGGTGGCTATAGTACAGTGAGGTACAGTCCACTGCAAATTAAGGCAAGTAGTGGTATTTAGGTCGAATCTGCAATCCCAAGTTCAGAATCTTTTTCTACTGTTGGTTAGAGTGTGATCCTGGGCATAACATCTTTTTTTTTTTTTTTTTTTTTTCCGGAACTGGGGATTGAACTCAGGCCCTTGCACTTGCCAGGGAAGCACTTATTCCACTGAGCTATCTCCCCGGCCCCTTGGTCAGAACATCTAACACTCTTAACGCTTAACACTTTGGTTTTCTCTTTCATTCATGAACTGAATATTCATATTTTATATATTATCTGTCTGATGGGATTATTATAGATTAAATGAAAAAATATAAATCAAAGTCTGTCCTAGGGCTATGATGATGACTGTGATTATTATTATTTAAAAGCCCAGTGGGTGGGCTGGTTCTTCATCTCCACAAGAATATAAGATTCCTATTTAGAGTCTAACTAACTGAACAGAATTCAGCAGTAACATATTTGAATTTTTATAATAAAGTGCAAATACAAGATAGATAAAATTCTTGAAGAATCGATTGAGTTGGTCTTATATATTTAAAAAATTGTCACAAAATAAGTATTCCTGCTATGCCACCCTTTTATAAATGTTTAAGTGTGTAATTTGTTCTACATGTCTCATCTTGAATGATTAAATAATTTGCATACTGTTTTCAGTGGCATGAAGTAAGGGCTAATTGAAGTCTAATTTTTTGCAGTAAAATTATATCATTTTTTATGTAGTACATTTGAAAATAGCCTAGGTCAGTTCTAATTTTATACTTTTATTATTTTAATTTAGCGTACTAACTAATTAAAAATTGCTACAAAGAAAAGAAGATGAAAATGATTTTAGTTAATTCCCCCTTAACAGAACGAAGCAGTGTTAAATGGAAAGAAATGGAACTGAGCCCAGCACAGTTTCCGGCACATAAAGATACTCATTAAGTATTCCTGAATGAATAAGGAATGAATAATTTCCAAGTATTTCTTTCTTTCTTTTTTTTTTTTTTAATTTTTTTTTTTATGTGTGTGTGTGTGTGTGTGTGTGTGTGTCCAGCTCAGCCCACCAGGGGGCGGGGCTGGCTGGCATGTGGTGCTGGGGGATTGAACCACGGTCCCTGTGCGTTGCTAAGCTTGTTCTAAGTAGGTGCTTTAGACCACTGAGCCATCTCACCAGCCCCTCCAGGGAGTTTTTTGAGTGTGTGTGTTACTGAGGATTAAACCCTGAGGGTCCTCACCTTGAGCTGCGTTTGCAGTTCTCTCTGTCCTGTCTCTGTCTATCTCTGTTTCTATCTCTGTCTCTGTCTGTGTCTTTCTGTGTCTGTGTCTCTGTCTGTTTGTCTGTCTTTCTCTCTCTCTCTCTCTCTCTCTCTCTCTCTCTCTCTCTCTCTCTCTTACTGAGGAAGGGTCTAAATTGCTCTGGCAAGGCTTTTACTTGGGATCTCTCTGCCTCAGCCTTCCAGAGTGCTGGGATGACAGGTATGTGTCACTAGACCCGCTTCAAGGGTGTTCATCTATGCAAATAGCTGTGGAAGACAGAGACAGGCTCCCTCTCCCACCAAGAGCAGTTTGCTTATAGCCTGAGAGTAGAGCCAAGGTCTCTCTCTAGAACAACAAACAGATACGCTTACTGTCCAGTCTAATAAGGGTGCTTGTTGCTCACTAAAGAAGGTTTGGGTTCTTTAAAATTGGGGATCCTGGCCTGTTATGTATGTGCTATGCCACTGCAGAGGACATTAGAGGGTAGGACAATGGCGCAGAAAATGCAGCAGTTCTGTTGCTGCTGTTCCAGCTTCCGAGCAGTAAACTACTCTTTGTCTCTCAGCAGAAGTGAAGGGGCATCTTAGGGCTGGATGTGGAGGTGGCAGGAGAGGCGAACCTTTGGCTAAGGGCACTGCCTAAAGTTCGGACCCAGCTAACAAGCCTTACTCAGTGGGAATGGCTGGCTGGATGATGGAGGCTGTAGAATGTACAATAAGTTGCTAGAGGAAAGACACTCTCACAAAGCTTCATAGCAGCTTAAAGCCCATTGTGTGGACTGAAGCTCGAACTCACAGTACTGGCGCCTACTGTGCTGCAGTTTATTTGTTCTTTGGGGTTTGTCTGAGCCAGAATGATACATTCTTATGAGCACTCTTCCTTGTGCCAGCCTTTCGCTTTCTTCGATTGCTCTTGTTGAGTGCTAGCAGCTGTAAGTGAGGCCGCCTCCGTAGATGGTGGCAGTGGGGCACGCTGGCAGTGGGGAGTTGCCAGTCACTCGAAGAACTCAGCCCCTCCAAGTCTCGGCGTCTGTGAGTCCCTAAGAGTTCGCAGGTACTAATGCCGCCCCCGAGGACAAGCCTTTACCCTGCTTCTCTGTAGCAGGAAAGCTTTTGGGGTTGTTGCTGAGATATTCTGTAACTTTTTGGTAGTTGCATAACAAAGCAATTATATTTTCCTTTATGCTACAGGGACTAATATTCGACGTCATCGAATTGCTCTCCCTCCACCTAATGATGATCGGTTTTATACTGTGTATGATTTCAATATCAACATTGACATCGTCTTCTATGGCCGGACATTCAAGATTTATGATTGTGATAAATTCACAAAAAACTTTCTGAAAAAAATAGGAATCAAATTAAATCCTCCAGGACATCGTCCAGAAGATCCCTACATAAAGATGCGGAAAGAAGTAAGAACTTGTATTTGAGAGCTCTTGTCTTTATAAGAATTCCTTTTCCAGCCTGTAAAGGGTGTTGGCATTCTTGATGCAGATGCGAAAAAGCTTTTGGAGCTGCAGTTACTTAAGGTGTCCTCCTATCCCTTTGGTTTGGAGAAAAGATTGAGCCCTGGCTTCCGCATAAGAATGCCTCCCCTGCCTCCCAGTTGTTTCTGTGGGGTGTGCGTTGCAGGCTGGGAGCTGCTTTGGTGGGATGTTTCTAGTAGCCAACCGCTGGCCTTGTGGCCACCGACAGTGTACTCATTCTTGCCTTGTCTTTCCCCATTTGGGCTGCCTAACTCTGGCTGGGAAGAAGTCCTTTTTTTTTTTTGAGGAACCAAGGATTGAATTCAAGAAGTCCTTATTTTTGCACTACTGATTTAGTGGCCGCCTCAGCAGTGCTTACGCTAATATCTGTACTGCTGATGTAGCAACGCCAGGCTGGGGACCACCTTCTTTCCTCCTTCTCAGGACTCCCAGCTCCTCCTTTTGGGGCACGGGATGCTGAGATGTTAGGGAAGAGCGAAAAAGTTGCCAACTGTGATGTCCCTCTGTTGTGAAAGGGTGCTTGTCCTCCAAATCGGACCCTAGTTAGCATAAGATAAAGACTTCATATAGTTTTTATAGTTTGTGTCTTCTTGCAGTTTTAAAAATGATTCCTTGGGGGCCGGGGAGATGGCTCAGTGGAATAAGCGCTTCCCTGGCAAGCGCAAGGGCCTGAGTTCAATCCCCGGTTCTGAAAAAAAAAAAAAAAAAAAGATACCTTGACTCAAATTTTTATGTTTTCCAGAAGAAGAATACCCAAAGGGAAGTGTCATGGGGAAGGTCACACACCTAACTCAATCAGTGTCCTTGCTGGGACTGGACTGTGAATCTCATGGCTTCCTTGATTTCCATTGCTGTCATTTGTTTTTCTGTTCTTTTTTAAATTGATGTATAAAATCTAGTCATTAATATACTAATAAATGAGTCGTAACAAATACATTTACCACGTAACATGCACCAAAATCAAGCCGTTGAACTTTTCCATCTCACTAGAAGGTCTTCTCATGCATTTTTCTAGTTAGTTCCTTTTCTGACCCAGGGATAAATACTGTTTTCATTTTTATCCCCATAGATCAGTTTCATCTAATTTTTTGTTGTTCTTTTTTTGAGATGGAGTCTCACTGTGTAGTTCAGGCTGGCCTTGGACTTATGACAGTCTTCCTTCTTCAGCCTCCCCAGCACTGGCATTACAGAGGTAGGCCACCACACCCTGTCTCAGTGGCCGGCTCAGCATGCGGGGGCCAGCATGGGCGCAGCATGTGGCACCGGGGATTGAACGTGGGTCCCTGAGCTTGCCTAAGCAGGTGCTTAGTCTGCTGAGCTATCTCTCTGGCCCTCTGTTTTTTTTATTTTTAATTTAAAACTTATAATCCATTTCCTTCCAGAAGGATAACGCAATTTAGAATAAAATACTCTAATGTGGCTTTTATCTTTTGTTAAAACTGCCTTATACTATTATTCATTTCTACTTGCCTCTTAGCCCTGAAATTATTCTTTAATGTCATAGGTGTAGAACCCTCTGGGATATCTGAGATACAATGCCTCTATATATATATATTTTTTTTTTTGCGGAACCGGGGATTGAACTCAGATCCTTGCATTTGCCAGTCAAGCGCTTATCCTACTGAGCCATCTCCCCGGCCCCTCAATGCCTATATATTGGCATACGCTAAGATTTTTTGGTTTGTGTTTATTTGTATGTTTTTTCCTAAACTCCCTCATTGATAAACACAGTCTTTAGAAACTACCAGAAAGAACCTGAGGAAAATGAATCCATCTGAATTACCACCTTGTCACATATAGCTGTCTGCATTCAGTAACAGCACTGTAGGACAGTGGCTGAGAATGGTGGATTGTATAATATTACAGAGAACATGGTGGGATCGCATAGGTTTATAACAAAACAACAGTTTTGTGCCAGAAATTGAGAATAAGTACCAAGTATAGCCCCCCCCCCAAAAAAAATGTTTTAACTAATTTCCTTTCAGATTGGGAGAATTGTTTTAACATTTATTTCCCCAGTGAAAAAACTTTTTAATAAATATGGAAATCTTTGGAAAATTAGGAGTTTAATAAGAGGCTTTTATATTGACTTTCTTGCATTTAGTTCTTTGCTGGCTTGAAATATAAAGTTAAAATTAAGCAATTTAACTTAATCTGAAAAGAATCCTAGTGGTATATATATATATAATCAATAATACATTTATTAGAGATCTTGTAATACCAAAGGAACAGTTTTTAATTGTGGCAAGGCAACTTCCTGTCATTTCATTTAAATATAGAGGAGCAGGATGGAGGGCCTCTGGAAAGCCACCGTGTGGCTTAGTCCGGGTCCCCTCCCCTGTCTGGACAAATCCATGATTTCAAGGATTTACGAAATGATTACATAGCTTGATTTGGGACAATACCTCCCTTGCCAAATGTGTCCTTTCTTATGTGGTATGAGTCCTGTTGGCTGCAGGCTGCATCACTAGCTAGCTTTCTTTCTTTTGTGTTTTTTCTTTTTTTTTTTTTAGTACTGGAAATCAAACTCAAGACCTTGTGCCTGCTGAGCCGTATCTCTCCAGCCCTGAACAGAAAAACGAAAACAAACTTCTTTTATTTTTTTTCTTTTGGTACTGGGAATTGAACTCAGGACCTTGTGCTTTCCAGATAGGTACTTGTGCTGCTGAGCTATATCCCCAGCCCTGCGCTTTCATATTCTTGGTATGGAAAGCTCTTTTTTTTTTTTTAAATTTAAAAAAATTTTTTAGGGAAGGGTCTACAGGGTGTTCAGGGTCTTACTACTAGATCGGACTCCTAGTGATCTGCCTGTTTACAGTCTCCCAAGAGCTGGGATTACAGGTGCACACGCCACCATGCCCAGTCTCAATTGCCATCTCAGCGCACCCCTGGGGGTGAGATCGGCACGGCAGGCTGGGGGATCAAATGCCTGGATCCTGTGCCTGCTTGCAGGTGCTTTAATCTGCTGAGCTATTTGGCTGGCCCTTGGAAAGCTCTTTGTGCAAAATTGAACCATAAATATATTTTCCCCTCCATAAAAATCTAAATGAGTAATAAGCATATACAGATATGAATTTCCAATAATTTTTTTTTTTAGTTGAGATATAATTAGCATCAGCCGGGTGTGGTGGTGCACCCCTATAATCCTAGCACTTAGGAGGCTGAGGCAGGAGGATCATTGTGAGTTCAAGACCAACCTGGGCTACAAAGTGAGCTAAAGGCCAGCTTGAACTGCATAGTGAGACCCTGTCTGAGAGAGAGAGAGAGAGAGAGAGAGAGAGAGAGAGAGAGAGAGAGAGAGAACTAGTGTAGTCATATCCTTTTTTTTTTGGTAGTTTAACGCTTTTTTTTTTTTTTTTTTGGCGGCACCAGGGATCGAACTCATGACATTGCACTTGCCAGGCAGGTGCTTACGCCACTGAGCTATACCCCTGGCCCTTTTTGTACTTTAGACTGGACTCATAGTGGTTCTCCTGTTTTAAGCCTCCCAAGCGCTGGGATTACAGTAGTACGCTACCATGCCCAGTCTCAAATTTTAAAGCACATAGATTGATGAATATTGAAAAATGTATACAATTGAGTAGCCATTATGAAAGTCAAGCTGTCACAAATTTTGGATTGTGGATACAGCTCAGTGGTAGGGCACATACAAGGCCCTGGGTTTGGGCTCTAATACCTGTCCACCAATGTCGAATACTGTCTTCATTCCAAAAAGCACCCTGGAAATTTCTTTTGTCCCTCTTCAGTGAAAGAGGGAATTACTGTTCTGGTTTCCATTACCATGAGTTAGTTAGTTTGTGCTTTTCTGTAGCCTAGTCTTAAGAAGGTAAGTCTTTGATTTTTTTTATTTTTTATTTTATTTTTTGCGATACGGGGGATTGAACTCAGGACCTTGCACTTGCCAGGCAAGCACTTATTCTACTGAGCTATCTCCCCGGCCCAAGAAGGTAAGTCTTTGAGAAAGATCAATTTACCAAAGTATTACAAGCATATAGTTTAGTATATTAAAGTGATATTTAACAAAATCTCAAAAATGTATCTGTGTTCGTAAGGAGAAAACTGGTTATCAGTGCATATATCTGTCAGTTGTGGTCTTTTAAAATTTTATTTATTTATTTATGTGTGTGTGTGTGTGTGTGTGGCCAGCTCAGCCCACCAGGGAGGCGGGGCTGGCTGGCATGTGGTGCTGGGGATTGAACAGCGGTCCCTGTGCTTTGCTAAGCTTGTTCTAAGTAGGTGCTTGAGACCACTGAGCCATCTCACCAGCCCAAGTTGCGGTCTTTTAGAAAACCACATTCTGTAGAAAATTTGCCTTTCTGTGAGTTGACCGCGTCACACGGATGCATATACAAAGCGTGCAGCCTGTGGTGACACTTTCTCCATTTGCAGAAGCTGGAGAACATGAATCCCCGTCGTCCCTACGAATCCTTTGATACCCTGAAGCAGTTCTTGCAGTATGAGGGCAAAGTGCTGCGTTTCTTCTGCATGTGGGATGACACAGACTCCCTGTTTGGGGATCACAGAGAACTTGTCCTGCATTACTTCCTGGCTGATGATACTGTTGAGATCAGAGAAATACTGCCCGACAACTCGGGCCGGGACGCTAAGACGTTCTTCCTCCGGAGGAGTAAGCTGCCCAAGGTGAGCAGTGGGCACAGACTCGCTTTCCTTGTTTTTTGCCTGTGGGCCGAGGGAGTGCAGTCACTGTTTGCAAAGTTGCATGTTAGGACTATGTAAATGTATAGAAAACTTGCATTTTGTACTAACATACGAGGTATAATCAAAGTGTGCAGTATGTGTTCAAAAAGTTACTGCGTACTTTGATTATACCTACCATGCTATGCCCCCAACTCCTTCACTCAGCATGCTTTTCCATGGTCTTGGCACTTTCAAAAGCAGTTCTGGAATCCTCTTTCCTGAGTATCTTTGTAAGATGTATTCAGAAATAGGGTGAGTGCTACGGCTGAGCCGTCCAACAGAAAGGCAGGCTTATGAAAACATTTCGGCGTCCTCATCCAGTTTCTTCACTGGGTCTGTCTGGCACCGTAGACTTCGGGCCCTCCTGTAAAGTCAGAATCACCATGAAAGGTACGTTGTGAGTTAATTCAGGAAGTGGAAGCAGCCACAAGCAGTGAGTCAAGATACGCAAGAGGACTTCCAGAGTGGCATCAGAGAGTTGCAAGAACGATGGGGTAAAAGTGGAGAAGCGAGGGTGAGTGTTTTGAGAGGGATAAATGGCTGTCTTTTGCTATAACACATTTAAAAAAATAAACATTCACTATAGCTTTTCTGTTGTTGTTTTTCTCACTGGAGCTGGGTCTTGAACCCAGTCCTTGTGCTTGCAAGGTAAGAGCTCTACCACTAAAGCACATCCCCAGCTCTCACCGTAGGTTTTGGTCACACATCATATGTCCTTAAAAGTAATCCAGACAATCTGACAAATTAGAGTCGGAATATTCTGAACTTAAAGCGAGTTGCATGTAAGAGAACGAACGTGCCGGTCTTACTAAAGTAAGGAATCCTTAGTAAAAGTATTGCTTTTGGCCTTGCACAGCACACTGAGCTGTGCCCTCTGCAGCCTGCTGAGGAGCTGAAGATGTTGGTGTCGGTTGTGAACCCACACACGTGCACCTGTGCTTGTGTGTCATACACAGACCCACACCAAAGTATACAGAGAGGAATGCTCTTTTGAATGCTTTACTATTCCAAAGGGTTGTCAGACGGATACCTACAAATAATTGTGGTCATTTGAGGGCTAATGTAACTTTAGTGGGAGGAATTGCTCAGAACCAGACACTGGATTTGAATTGTAGATCTGCCTCTTAAAAGCTGTGTGACTTTCGGCAAGTCAATTAACCTCTCTGATCTTATTTCTCTATCTACAAAACGCAGTTAATAGAGTCCTGAGGTAACTGTAAGCACTGAATGAGATAATATAGTAGGAAACACCATCTAAGGCCCCATTAAGACCTCTAAGGACTCATAAAATCATGAAGCTTTTTTTTTTTTTTTTGGTGGAACCGGGGATTGAACTTAGGCCCTTGCCCTTGCCAGGGAAGCGCTTATTCCACTGAGCCACCTCCCCGGCCCTCCCCCCCCTTTTTTTAAATAGCTCTGATATATAGTTTTGGGTTCCCGGAATTGAATTTAGGACCTTGCGCTTGTCAGGCAAGCACTGTGCCACTGAGTTATATTCCCGGCCCACTCTGTTATATTTTCTTTTTCTTTTTTTATTTTTAGCAGAGCCGGGGATTGAACTTAAGGCCCCTGCACTTGCCAGGGAAGCTCCCATTCCACTAAGCCATCTCCCTGGCCCCCATAAATTATGTGCAGGTCTATGCTGGTTTTCTTTTTTTTTTTTTTTTTTTTTTTTTTGTATTTTTGTGGAACCGGGAATTGAACTCAGGCTCTTGTGCTTGCCAGGCAAGCGCTTATTCTACTGAGCCATCTCCCCAGCTCCCCACTCTATTATATTTTCTTTCTGATTTGGCCGAAGTATTTTTTTTTTAACTCAGTTCTTAAGAGTTCCTGAGAAGTTTGCTACAGGACTCGTTCCTCATGCACATAACTGCTGGCTTTGCAGGATGTTCTCCTGGGTTCTCCCAAATCCACTGCCAGAACTTCTGTGGGGCCTCTTGGAGACAGGGAAAGCCCTGTCAGGACTGTCCCTAAGGGAGTGCTGGCCTAAACACAGGAGGTGCCAGGGAAGCTTGCTTTTAGAATGGCTTTGAAAAATAGGCTAGGTGTAAAGTAATAACGGCACACCTGACATTTGCAGCATACCCCGCCTTCAGTCGCTTCAGTTCGTTCTGCAGATATCTATTGAGGGCTGAGGACAGGCCTGCTCTGGTGTTACAGCGTTGAGGAAAATAAAGTCCTGCCTTATAGAGGTTGGCTTTCATGGGGGAGAGAGATAGGAGGTGTGGGAGTTCCCCTGACACTGAGTGGCCCGTGAGAAAGCAGGCGGAAGTGATGTGGCGTTCCTGTCTTCCTTGATTGGTCACCTTCTTGCCTACCACACCTTGTTTTGATTTTGTTTTTTAGTATGGCCCACCTGGACTGCATCAACCGGGCCAGATAACGAATCATTCCGTTCTCAACGTGTTTGGTAGCTTGCACAGCAGGAAGAAGTGTGGCTACGTGTTGGATAGGTACAAGGTGAGCACCATCTTACTTGGTTAACGCTTCCAGTGTAACTGAGCAGTAGGGCAAGTTATATATTTTTCCTTTGGGAGATTTTGAATACAATCCGTGACTACTAAATATATATATGTGGGGCCAAGGAGATTGCTTAGTAGAATAAGTGCTTGTCTGGCAAGCGCAAGGGCCTGAGTTCAATCCCCAGTTCCACAAAATAAATAAATAAATAAATGAATAAATAAATAAATAAATAAATAAATGTGTGCATTGTACAGCCATTGAGCAATGATGCACGTTCTTATGTGCATACAGAAACATGTATTGCATCACTGATTGCAGGCACTGTGGTGCCAAAATAGTACTGTACAATATTAATACTACTTGCTATTTGACTTTTAAAATTTAATTATATGACCAGGGAGATAGCTCAGTAGAATAAGCGCTTGCCTGGCAAGCACAAAGTCCTGAGTTCAATCCCTGGTACTGCAAAGAAAAAAATAAAATAAAATTTAATTATAAAAGACATAATTAAAGTTTTTTTTTTTTTTTTTGAAATATTTTTCCTTTAGAGAAGGGCACCTAATTCTTTGGGAGGTCCACGATGCCAATGCTGTGTTCTTTTGCTTTTATTAGTTGGGAAAAATAAACCAAGAATTTTACAAAGATAGTGACCTGACTGTAGGAGCCACCATCGATGTTTGGGGAAGGAAGGTGCGCCTGTGTGACTGTGACGACTTTACAAAGTGTTACTACAAGACCAAGTATGGAATCGGTAAGTCATCTGCATGCCATCTTTTTTTTGTTTTTTGTTTTTTTTTTGGTTTTACCGATGTATTTTCAAAGGGTAAAACGAGACAACTTAAATACACGTCCGGCAGAGCTGCTGTGAGGACAACGCACGCTCACTCCCTGGAGTCCTGGTACTTTATGCATATACATCCTTATTATCTGCAATGTAATCTACAATTTCTTGTGGACACATTAACTTTTTTTTTTTTTTTTAACATTT